TATATATATATATATATATATATATATATATATATATATATATATATATATATATATATATATATATATATATATATATATATATATATATATAGTGTTATTGTATGTTTAATTGTGCTTAATTGTGAAAAATATTTTGAAACAAATTCAAATAATGTCTAAATTAGAAAAAAAATCTGATAGAACATTTTTTTTTTAGAATGATCATTATATTCCTATCGACCGTTACCTTCCACCCAACCCCTGATCGCCTAGTGATGTCTTTGTTTAGTCGATTGTCTCCTTTACTCCCTAACTGTCGCTCATCACCCATGACGCAAGTGTAGTTGCGGATGGAGGCATTGGAGGCCTCATTATCATTATCATTAGACTCTAATCGTTGCCTCCCCTTCTCTCCATCTTATCAAATTCATCGCTCACAACTCTCCGCATGAGGAAGGTGCAAGGGTTGTTACTACTACCTTCATTGATCTTGCCTATCTTGCTTTTACGTATCATGCCCACCGAGAGGGGAGGGGGGAAGGGCAATAGTATCTATAGAGACATCAATGACCTTTGCAAAATGACTATGGGTAGACGACTCCTATGAGGGTATAGTGAGACTAGCAGTATAAGAAGAAAAAGATAAAAGTGAAATCGATAGAGAGATGAATACAATAATATTCTCATATTATTATAGGACATTTATAACAAATTTTGAAAATGACTAACGATGCCAATAGTGTTCATAGAGGCATCAATGACCCTCACACTAAGGCTATGGGTGATGATTCCGATACGAGCATAACAATGATGGTGGTGTAGGAAGAAGAAGGTGAAAGTGGATCCGATAAAGAGAAGAATAAAATAATATTCTCACATGATTATAGGATATTTATAATAAATTTTTAAAATGACGAACATTAAGGATGTCCCCGGTGACATCAATGGTCTCACACGAGGATCATGAGTGACGACTCCGATAAGAGAATAGTGACAATGTTGGTACAATGATGACGATGATGTAGATAATAGAAGACGAAAATGGATCCTAGAGAAGAATAAAATAAGATTCTCACATTACTAGAGGACTTTTACAATAAATTCTCAAAATTAGAGAATCGATGCCAAATATTATACTGGTGGCATTGTGGACACGTGGAACTATAGCTGAGGAAGCTTCCTCTACTTTGGGGCCTCGCGGGCTTATGATTGCTTTAACAAATGAAGGTCCGTACATGAGTGTCACAATATTTTTTGACACCATAAAGTATCATAATTATCAAAATAAAAATACCTCTGTTTTTTGTTTGTGTCCCCCCCCCCCCCCCCCCCTCACACACTCACACACACACATATATATATATATATATATATATATGAGGAACAGTTCCCGCCGCTGTTGTGGTGGCTTGGCGGAGGGCGACGGGCAAGCGGAGCGTGTTCATGCGGGCCGAGCGGAGGGACGGGCGGCTGATCTTGACCGAGGTGCGGATCCAGCGGCCGGAGCTCTTCCACGCGCGTCGGGAAGACGGACGGCTCCGATTGCATCGGATCGAATCGGATGGCGCGGACGAGGCTGCTGCTGCGGCGACTCAGGAACGCGAGGCACGGGGGCGGCAAGCGGCAACCCTTTGTGGTGGAACCATCGATTCGTGACGACGGGGTCACGCAAACTTGATTCAGAGACGATCCATCTGAAATAAGCTCGGGCCGGCCCGGTCCAGTCCGCTTTTTCCTGGTCAACGCCAATTTTGATTTTGTTGGAGCGAATCTTAGCATGGGAGAAAGAATAACTATTAAAAGAAAAGAAAAAATAAAGAAGGCGTGATATAAATAATTTGGTAGTGGTAGCAATTGTGAGAAATCTATGAAATATTGGATCATCCAAGCATCAAGTTACTTTCTTTTCAGCATAAATTTCTGATGAGAGTAATAATGGCGACAAGACTCAGGTTGACGTCAGATGCCCCAGATAACGCCTCGACTGACCTGACACCACCTGGTCCAATGGACCCGAACGTCGACCAAGGCTCATTAAACATCCTGCTCAGGCTCGGTCCTTCACGCCACGCCAACACCAGTGTCAGACGTTACTAGCCTGCCCCCTGCAAACTGACACATCAGGAAATAGTAAGCTTCCCTATAAATACCCTCGTAATCTGAACGAGGAAGAAAAAGGGAGGAGAAACATACACACAAAAGACCTCTTCACTTCATCTGATTTGATCGTCGGAGGGGTCGGGCCGAGCACCTTGACCTGACTTTTGTGCAAGTGCAAAGCCGAAGGTCCCCCTCGGACGCACAGGCTAGGAGTTGTTGCCTGGAGGAACCGACGACCCCGTCCCGATCGGAGCGCCATAATCGATCACATCAATGGACTCGAAGACCATCTCGAGAAGATCCCTCGTCATCCGGATCCGAACCGAGCCACGTCGACCCCGAAGCTATGGCTCGAGATTGTTTCCCACAACAATTTCCAAGATGAATAACATCAAAACACTATAGAGAAGATACAACTCTGGACATTAACGCAAACAAAGACAAGAGTACATCGAGAGTTACGTATGAGAACCATTCGCTGACGTCTCTGATTCGAGTCCGGATGTGGGACTGCGGCGTCAGGTCGGTGGTCTTCTCGTCGAAGGAGGGCAAGAAGAATCTCCTTGGAACTGCGCGCGTGCAGATGGACTCGGCGTTGCTCAAGACCGCCGCGGTGAGATTCGCAGTCAATGTGTTTCCAGACCGCCTTGTTGGTTTACCATGCCCAGCACACGCGGCCGCGGCCGCGGCCTCGGCTACCGCCACTAACGCGGACTTCACGAAGCGCGGTTGCGGCCGGGACGGAGCGAAGCCGAAGACGAAGCCGATCTGAGTCAACGCCACCGTGTAAGCACAACAGCGACACTGCATGACGGCGGCTTCGACGCCGCCGCCAAGCCGATTTTAATTTTTTTGTTAAGGTTTAAAGAGTAATTTAATGGTTATTCCCTTCTCTTCCTTTCCGAAAGATGATTTTGCGGCCGATTTTAAATTTTTATTAAGGTTTAAAGAGTAATTTAACTGTTATTCCCTTCTCTTCCTTTCCGAAAGATGATTTTAGCTGACGCCATGGCTTGTTGTCTTGAGCAGCACGATTGCAAGAGCGCGACGCGCGACGCGCGGCTAAGGTCGGTCGAGCTGCCCATTTATTATTACTTTTATTCCGTTTGGCCATCGCGCTCTCGCGTTCTTTATATATATGTGACCTCAGCTGAGTCTTGCCCGCCAGCTCTCGTTCTCTTTCCGTGGCCATTAAGCTGAATCCTGGGAAAGGAGTAGCGAGGGTTGCGGTTCTTGCGATGTCTCCGAGTGCGGCGAGGGGAGAGCTGCGGGAGACGCGGTTCCGAGGTGTGCGGAAGCGGCGATGGGGGCGGTTCGCGGCGGAGATCCGCGACCCTGCCAAGAGGAGCCGCGTGTGGCTCGGCACATTCGACACCGCCGAGGAGGCGGCGCGCGCCTACGACGCCGCCGCCCTCCGGTTCCGCGGCACCAAGGCCAAGACCAACTTCGCCTACCCCGGCCCTCTCTACGCCCCTGTCGTCGCCGGATCCGTCCCCTCCAGCCCCAGCAACAGCAACGCCGAGTCCTCCACCCCCTCCCCGAAGGCCGGTGCCGTCACCGCTCTCCTGCCGCTCGATCTCGAGCTCGGCCACGCGTCCGCCAGGTTCTCCTTCCCTCACCGCCCGGCCTCCTCCGCGCGGGAGGCGACGGTGAGCCACCACTGTCTCGCGTTGGACCGAGCAGCGGCCTTGACCGGCATGAGTGTCTGTGACCGTTTACAGAGTGCGTCGGATTCGGTCTCGCCGGCGGAGCCGACTATGAGGCTTCCCTTCGACGTCGATCTCAACCTGTCTCCTCCATCCGAGGTGGTCTGATCCAAACGCCCGGGGTTAGATCCGATACTGAGAGAATTAGATCCGACAATTTACCTATATATACACACACACACACACAATATTTCTCGATGTAATTTTCCTTTTTCTTTTTGCACTGAGAAAGTGAATCAGACAAAGATATCCAACTCAGTGTTATATTTACTACTCATTTTACTTATGCCATCCCACTAAAAAGTTTAGCCACGTGTAATTGATGAATTGCCATGTCATTATTACAGTTTTCTGTGAGCAATCGGATAAGATCGTAGTACCGTTCAATGCACGTGACTGGTACTTGTAAGTACAATCTCACCTTGTATGTGCTGCAGCTATTGGATCTATCGCCACGTGTCTCTTAGTATTCTTTCCTGCGTAATCGGTGATCGCGTGGACCTCAGAATTGGCATCACATCGAACGAATGAGTTCGCGAATCGCATGCTGTCGAGGACGCAAGTCCGTTAATGAGAGCGAGCCACGTGTCTGTCGATTGCATCAGCAAAGGGGAGGGGGGGGCAAATCTACGTCAGAGGTGCTTTGAGATCTGTGCTCACCAATCTAACTGCCAGGAAATATTTCGTCTTATCAAACAAAAAAATAAATAAATCAAACTCGAATATTTAAATGAATAAGATTGCTATTCCAAGTCATGATTGAGTCGTGTTACATAATGACTAAATACCTCCGAGGTATATTCCAAAGTCACGCACGATTTGATGACCACTTCTTGTCTGACTGACTACTCGTGATTCACATTGCCAAAATTCCTAATTGACTCGGTCACATGAATTGGCAACTCATTAATTACGTCAGTCTGCTTTTTTCTTTCTTTCTCTCTCCCATTATTTGTTTTTGAGCCCTCACTCTACGTTTCTAATTCGATTAAATAATATAATAACTTAGTAAGAAGATTGTTGACAACGTCGTATTATGATGTCATAAAATTATATTAAATCATAATTATAATCATTATCATATTATAATCCCGACCGTCCATCAGTGATAAGGTGTCTCAGCTGCGTCGCACGTGATCGATGCTACTATATGAGAGAGCCCACTCCCGCCGCCGACGTGCGTTGACGAGGAAACCCTAATCGAGCCCCGGGAGCAAATGGCGAAGTCGCTGCGGTCGAAGAGGAAGAAGAGGCTGCGCACGTTGAGGAGGGAGATCTCGGAGCCATTCTACGAGAAGAAGGAGGCGGCCAAGCTCGCCGCTCAGGAGGCCGCGCTCGCCGCCCCCAAGCTCCCCGTCAAAGCCCCCGTCGCCTCTGATGAACCCGCGGCCGAGTTGGCCTCCTCCATGGGTGAGTTCAAATTTCGTCTTAACCCGCCTTCTGTGATCCTTGGTCTTCCGATCGGAACCAACTCTAGTTTGTTGCATTTCCTATTACACTCGCGCAAGATGCATGTTTTGCTCCCCCAGTTCCCTTCAGCATGTTGATCATAAATATATGCACCTGATGGATTATAGCTTCACTCGAAGGCGAATAGGAAACCCATTCGATGAATCCCTTTGAATGTTACTTCTTTGTGGTAAAAGTGAACATTTGTGTCGTCATAAAGTGCTCTGTAAGAAACATAAAATTAGCGGTTTGTGGTGCTGAATTTTTTATATTAGAGTGAAGAAATTAGCTTTATCATTTGCGTATGCAAAACTAATGCTTTTGTCTCACCTTTGGTGCCTTATTAGCCTATTTTCCTTGGGTTATTGACTACATAATATGCATGAATTTAATTGGCGTCTTATTAGCCTTTTTTCCTTGGGTTATTGACTACATAATATGCATGAATTTAATTGGTGTCTTATTAGCCTATTTTCCTTGGGTTATTGATTACATAATATGCATGAATTTAATTGGTATCTTATTAGCCTATTTTCCTTGGGTTATGTAGTATTTTCTTTGGGTTATTAACTACATGATATGCATGAATTTAATTGGTTCGAGGGCAGTTGGATATTTTTATCAGATTGCTTGTAAAAAGCCAATTTGTGTGGACAATGCTGATCTTTTTCTAGATGCCTCTGTGCTAAAAACAACTCGATCTTTTAATTTAGCTACTGGCAGCTACACTATGATCATCTTCTTATATCTTGAAATTTTAAGTTGTCAGAATTCTGTACTAGAAGCTCTGCTGCAAGCAAAACATTGTATTGCAATTTCTTCAAGTACTTGAAGGTTTCTGATTTTGTTTTTTTTATTATTTAAAAGCGTATTTGCCGTGATGTTTTGTTGTCTCTGATATCCTTGAGGTTAGAATACAGAACTTGTGTGTGCTTGTGTCAAAAGCTTTGAGTTTGGCTGCATCAAAGTTATTGCCATGGTTTAATACCCTATGGAGTTGGAGACTTGCACTAAGGGTGTTCACAGTTGTGTTAAATATGTTGTTATACTATTTTGTCTCTCTCTCTGGTATCTTGTGGTAGTTTGCTCATGTCTATTCTATAGGGCTTTTACTTGTCATATGTAATTGTTCTTGGACAGATGTTGAAATGGGTGACGGAGGAAGTTCTCATGATCAGTCCAAGTCACTTCTGAAGCCCATTGGTGGTATAGGGAAGAAAATGCTAAAGAAGAAACTAAAGCTAAAAGGCAAGAAACGTGGTAAAGGGAAAGGGAAGATCAGCAAACGCAAGATATAAATATGCTTTTCGTTGGCAATCTGGAGTTGGGTTGGGGTTTCAAACTTCTATTTCAATCCCCACTGCGTTGCTCTCTGGTTAGGCTTTCTTTGGACGATGATAAGATGCTTTTACAGAATCATTTTTAAACGATTAAATCAGTGTATGCTGCATATTTTTCTACACAGCATCTATAAGCCAAATTTTGTTTGAGTGGATAATGACCTATGTAAATTGGACTCTGCTTAGTTTCATTACCGAATAGTAGTTGTGGTGTTCTTGTGTTCTTTCTCAGATTTTTATATTATGATATTGAAATATTTAGGTTCATTTATTCTAATATTATTGATTTTATTAATAAAAATATAAAAATAAAGGATAAAAAATAATTTTAATATTTTAATTGGTGTTGATGGATGATGTCGTTAGTGATGAACGGAGATGTTGCTGGCCCTAGTGTCGAGAGACGAGGGTCTCGATGTCGCAATTGCATCGACTTATATAGAGTGATTCTCATCTCTCGCTCTTTTTATCCATAATACCATGACCTCTAGCGATGTTGTCAATTGAAACGTTAACATTATTTTTTATATTTTATTTTCATCGATAAAAATAATATTATCAGAATAAATATATTTAAATATTTTATTTTTATAATTATAAAGATGGTAATGTAATTTTTTAAAATATAAGGATCGAAATGTTAAATATAATTAACATGTAATTAGTTTTTTTTTAAGGTGATATATGGCATGTGGATTGAATTGAAATGTCTGATGGTCACCAAATCACACAAAGACGCAGAAGGCCAACCTTAAATGCATTTCTCACTCCTGGGCTGTGAGATTACATTCCTTATGATCTGTAAAGAACGAAAAATTACATAAATGGGACAATTAGCAGCCAAAATTTTGATTCCTTGCGATCGTACGAGGAATCCGATTTGATGGGCCAATAGAGTCGAATCAAGATTTCGAACCTATTACCGGTCCAAATAGACCAAATCCGGTCGAACACTGCGCTGCTGGTCAAGTAATTTGCACCAACTAGACTTCCCCAACGCTATCTCATCCTACGTGGCTGACCCGCAAATCTGATCTCCGGGCCCACATGTGGGTTTTAACATTATTATCCTATGGGAGGTCATTCCCTGGCCTCACCCCTTCCGAAATGAGGCGAGCTTGGGCGGCGGGGCTGCCGCTTCGGTCAGCTATGGTTCGCCGCCTCACGCCCCAGTCGCCCATCTCCACTTCGACCCTTCCCCCTCCGCTAAAACCCTCGGCCGCCCTCACCGAAGACGAGGTCGCCGAGATCCGCAGCCTCGTCCCCCGCCTCTGCGACGCCGACCGCCACGATGCCGCCGTCCGGCTCCTCACCACCGCCCTCCTCACCGACACTCCGATCGATGTCCTCCCGATCGCCGTCCTCGCCGAACGCGTTTCCTCGCTACCCGATATGGTCGCTGCTATGTCCTTCCTCACCG